GAGCAGGTATTATAAATGAATGAAGAACCTTTATTAGTTAATTTCTCTTGGTTGTGGCATCACATTTTTCTTGTCAAACTGCGCGCCTATATTCACATGTATTTCCCAAACTGCGTGCCTAATATTTCCAAACTGCTTGCCTATCCAAGCTTGTTTTGTATTATTAGAAAACGTAAGCACCATAATATGTAAGGATCTTATAGATCCTAAGGGTAAAATATGTATTTTTTTCGAATTTATCATGTGCAGCCTTCCTCTGTTCAGAGTGGTGTTTGAGTTTTTGAGAGGTTAGTTTATGACTGAAGGTCAATTTTGATTGATGAGCTTTCAGGCATGATGACTCCGAATCGACTTCTGAAATTCCTAGTAATACATCCACTGGTAATTTTGCATGTCTACCAAACATTAACATGTATGGTGAAATGCCTGTACTCTGATGTGGTGTTACATTGTAGTAGTAGAACTCTTTGATGTATTCTGACCATTTTCTTCTTGATTTAATAACCTAAATAAAAGATTCAACATATGGGTAAATCTCTCACATTGTCCATTTCCAGATGGATGGTATACCATTGATTTACACAAAGCAGCAACTATTTTTCCCTGAAAGTTTCTACCTTTATCTGAATGAATCCTTGTAAGAATTCCATACACATGAAACCAATTTTTAACTAGAACTTTGGCTACAATAGATTTCTGCATGTGGTATTATTGCTCTAGAAATGTTTGTTAAAGTATTCCATAAAAGAGAATTTTGGTTATACATAATTAGCCAACTTATAAAATTCCTTATACATATAGCTTTTGTGTAATACGTCATCACAACTTGCGCTCTCTATTCATAATGCTATACGAATGTCAAAATGTAGGACCAATGCCATACCAAATGTCCAAATATGGGACCAATGCCATACCTTAATTCAAAGTAAATGAAATATAGGATTAATGTCATACAAATGTGCAAATACAGGACCAATCGCCATACCTCAAATCAAGAGTATGCAATCCAATATGGCGGCCGCCACCAGGAAATTTCTACGAATTCACATGTTTCATGTCATAACTTCTTCAAACTACAATCAAACGGCTAGTTCTTCTGCCACAACATAGGAACAACTCAGTTGATTTAAAAGATTCAGCATTCTAAGGTAAAACTTCATGTCTTCAACATCATTTCACCAGGGGACTGATATTTTTACAAAATATTTCAGGTTTTGTCTCCTCAGATCATCACACAACCCCCCCCCCTTAATGAGATGCGATCCGCATCTTATTCAATTACAAAATATTTCAGATTCACTTCAATATTATATATAATAATATTCCTAGCTTATTAAGCATACATTAAAATCCACATTGTCCATCAGCATATTGTACATATCCCATCCTTCCCAGCCTCATTAGTCTGAGTTGCTACTGTCTTCTGAATTAGTTGAACTCCCTTAAATTCCCATCTCTTCTCCCCAGTCTTCGCATTGATGAAATAGTACTTGTTCCTTTTCATCAAATAATAGGTCCGCCAACCTTCAACATAGCTTGACCACGGCAACTCCAACATAGGCGGTACTTTCCTAACCACTTTCACCCCATATCAATCATCCACATCCTGAATACCAACCATATGAATATTTTACCAAGGTCAACATTAGGCCAAGATTTGATATTGTCTTCCCAAGAGTTGATAGTATTAGGGTTGATCACATCATGTATTGAAAGCTTTTCCTCTAGATCATTTATAACAGTATCTAGCAAATCTATGTTTGGTCACCGAGACACAGTTTCTCTGAAACATGTTGCACCCCAGTGAACTTAGCAGGGCGTATCGAAATCAAGATGTTCCAGGAAACAGTTAATTTGAATTTCAAACCTACCCTGTCGTCAAAAAGTTAAGGATCACATACCATACCCTGGGCAATAACCCAGATGCAAGAAGGTAGTTACAAGTTTCACCACCAGGTGGCTGATTTGAGTCAATTAACATGGCATGTATGTAAGAAAGTTTCCTTAACTCAAATATTCATCAGTTTAAGTGGATCAATTTTTATTTAACCCTAATGTGTCAGATATTTATACAAATGAAAATATGTTCTTTAAAAGAAAACATTATCTGGCTAACACAAAAAAAGATATTTCACTTTTTGTGATTTTATAACATGGGGTCTAAGGGGAATCTCCCCGACCTAGAAGTCACATTTCAAAGAAAATTAATTTTTCAAAGTTGATAAACACTTTGAATTTTGAGTTTTTAATGACGTAAATCAAGATTATTTCTACTCGCATCTTTTTCATTTCATTAATTGTAGGGTGGTGACATGATTTTTTCAAGTACAATATATCCAGTAGTTAAAGTGCAAGTTGTGTAGGCCTTGGCTGTGTGATCAAAATGAGCCCAAGATCATCAAATTTGGTCAAAGCGTTCAAAGGTTACAGCATTTTAAAGATCTGAAATTCGCGATTCCTTTCGTTGAAAATTGAATAAATTATGCTAATGAGCTCATTAGCATATTTCACTTATAGATAAAAAATAAATATTATTCTAAGATTAAAAATATTTCAGATACCTAGAGAGAAAAAGTTGTGTGATAGGAAAAATAATGAATCATGTCCAAGAAAACATGTAAATTAGAGAGACAGATGCCCAAATATGGCTAACAGAGCCAAATTCACTCCGATTTCTGGTAAAATTTGGACAAAATTGGCATTTTTTGTTCCTACACTCATATTTCTGAACCAATTTTACAGAAAATAATGTACTTAGTTGGTTGCATACTATTTTATTTCTGTCAAACCATACTTCTTCTCTAGGTAAAAGAAATAAAATGCTTGATCTGATCAAAAATTTCCCAAAAAGGTTATTTGAAAGGTCTCACCAGTACAAAATATCCATATTTAGCCACCTTTTTCACCTATTTCATGACCATCATCGATGTTGATAGGCCTCTATTTTTAAAAATCAGTAAATATCACATCTGCTATCCTAAATTTCCCAATAACTATTTTTTCTGTGAACATGTGTATGCTCAAACAGCCTCTTTATGCCATATTTTCTTCGAAAAAAGGCTCTGAAGTATGCTAGGAAAACATATTTTCACACAAATTCTAGGTGGAAATAAGCCCAGAGAGACCATTTTGTAGTAAAATATGTCTAAAAATACAGCACCTATTTGTAACCATGAAAAATATTATCATATCCACACAGATTCAATATAAAGTACTATATATTTTTAATTCCTGCTATATAATGATTCAAACATAGCCAGTAGTCAAAAGGTGCCCTCCCTTGGCGGGATTTTGGGGTAGGGCGATTATTGAAAAACCAAAAATGACTTTGCCAAAAATGGATGAATTTGCATAATTTTTTTAAAAATGCTCAGTAAAGAAATTGTTATCTTTCTCTTTTTTTCAATTTAATCAATGTGGACTTATTATTCATCAAATAATTATTTTCAATCTTCAGAGGACCCATTTTTAAGGATTTGGGGGTAGGGCAATCACTGAAAACCACAAATAACAATAAGTTCACCAAATATGAAGACATTACTGTATTAATTAGTCACTGTATTAATACAGTGTGTCCCAAAAAAAGGAAACCAGCAATAGATTGCTTATTTCTCAAATATGAATAATAATAGGAAAATTTCACAGCTACCATCTGATAGGTTATATTGTCCTCTTTCTTATGATACCAAAGTTGTCTATTTTCCTTCACGGATTACTGAGTTATAAGGGATTTAAGTGACCATGTCAGAAATGAGTTTGTACCACTTTCAGCCAAGTCAATTTCACCATCATAACAAAGTGATAAGTAACAACAAACATCAGGATATCACTCTTTTACTCATTTATTCCAATTAAAATTACACATATCATATTTAACACCCCTTTTAAATCCCAATGTCCATTCAAAGTTGTTTTAACCCCAGTGTCCTTCAACATGACCCCCATTCCTTTCAATGCAAATGTCTGCCCTTGATCTCATCGCACGTACTGCATATTTTCTGAAACCTATTGTTTAAAAAAAACAAAACATCTCTGGGGTCTTCTTACCCACTCCAAGAAAACTCTATTGAAACTACCAGAGCTCATTTCTGCAAGGGATGACAGAACAGAGCTCTTAAGTTCCTCATTCCTCAAATTTTATTCTGGCCATATATTACGACATAAATCATAAAATCTCGGTCTTTACTCCTTATGTAAGCAACAAGACGTATGATGTGACAGTTGTTTATTACGACAAACAGAGCCAGAGAAGCTAAAAAATACAAATGCAAATAATAAGTACTTCGTATTATATAGTAAAATAAAGTAAACTGTCAATTGGTCACACTTAAATAATCATTTATTTCTTGCACCCTTCTGTTGTATTTATCTTCCTCTTCTTTTAGTGTTTACCTTACTGAAGGGAATATACAATACTGCTTTAACATATATATTTTTGACACAGATTAATATCTTTCAACTAATACCATATTCAAAATACCATTTTTTAAAAATACCACTCTGTTTATTTTATCAAAACATTGTTGGAAATCTACAAATCCCGTTGGAAATCTACAAATCCTGCAAATTAGAGTCCAACATAAGAGTCCAACATAAGCATGCTGGCTGTTTTCTTGTCATTCTGATTCCTTCATCCAATCTTTTATTAGATTTTTGACACCTGTATCAGATGGAATTCCACTAAACTTTCCAGGTATTTTATTGAAAATGAGTTTAACTGTCATTCTGTACCCAATTGACTCTTAATTGGATTTTTGTTTTCTTAGCTGTGATTTTTAAAGAATAAACCAAGATAAACAATATATTGGCTTTATATTACATCCTTGGAACTTGAATGCACTTAAGTGTCTATGAAAGATGGATATGACCCCTTAAATTACAAATATGAGTGTCTCTCTACGTTTTATATTTTGATCTTAGGTCCTTCTGTATGTTTTCAATTTTTTCCTTGTGTCCCACAATGTCTCTCAACTAGACTCGACACCCAACAATTGTTTGGTCAAATGGGGGTCTAGAATTTTCAGCTCTGCTGGACTTTTTCCCAGTTACATTATGTAGCATTAGTTCCTCATCAGTAAAAGAAATGGCTTACCAATCTTTTTTTGAAGGGAGTTTTTCAGAGCTAGGAGGCAACAGTTGCACATTTGGCATATCTCTTGAATGGCATAGGAGAAAGCAGTTGGCTACAGGCCCTCGGGAAGATAAATTGTTTATCTCTTGGGATATTCCCTGTATCCAAAACCTCCCAATGCATAACCCCTATGTACTAAATGTACATTTTTGTCTCACCTACAAGTTTATCAAACATATCAAGGGATACACCAACAGCTTCTTCTTCATAATCTTTCAAAAGAAAAAACTGGTGAAGAGTGATTTGGAATTGCAAATGATATTCAACACTCTCCAGAAAATACATTGACTCTCAGCAAGGGATTAATTATGCATCAAACTCATGAAAATGTGCACATAGAAATTCATTTAAGTGAGTGACAAAAGAGGCATATATTGTGATTCACCTTTTATATTAAAATAATGATACCCCTCACATTTAATATTTGACTGCTGAAAAGAAAGAACATACCATGATTTATCATCTTGGTATAATAGCGTTTTACTTACATAATATATATCACTTATAATAGTGACAAGAAATACTTTGACTGAATTGATCAAATAAGGGAACAACTGAAAGAAATAACAACAAAACTATACCTGGTGGGTTTGCAAAGATCGGAAGTAAAAATATGTCTTCTTATCCAGGCATTTAAATGGGGCATATCTTTGATGTAGGGTGTTCATGTGGCCTTTATCCCCCTTAGGGGGGAAGGTTTTGGAACAGACATCACAATCAGAGTCCATTTTATAATGGTGTACAAGCTCATGTAATTTAAGGTGACGTTTTAATGATTTTACCAGATGATCTTTTTGCTAGAGAGGGTGACTAGCCAGTTGCAGATTATAATTATGAGTCAAGAGTGACTAGTGATTTGACCTGATTTGATAATCATTAAACTGGTGTACCTTTTCAAGTTCCTAGCTAGTTCTCTGTTCTTTATGTATTGTGGAGATTAGCTATCATATCCCCTTTGGTAATGCTGCTCACCAACATGGAATTGAAACAACTTGGTGCAGGACATCCATGCAAAGGATTGATTTAATGCTCTCTAATGTGATTATATTAACCCTCTCTTTACGGGACCCCCTAATTTCGTTAAATATTTTACGATGGAAATACCTCATTTCATGATATTGATTGTCGGGCACAAAAGGGTTAACATCCGTCAACTATTTACAAAACTGAACAAAATATTCACTTTTTCTTACCTGGACTTAGTTTTCAAGTGTTAATGCATTGGTATCGTGTAAATTGATTGACTTCATATTTTATTTAATTCATAAAAATGACGATCCCCGATTGTCACATTACTCCCGTCTTCTTAAAAAGATGTGTCCTCATATATTTACAATTCTCCTTTATTCTAGTTATCTCATTGTGCCACATGAAGTTCCTTGTTGTAAGAGTACACTTTGTTTTCCGACCACAAGTACGTACTTCTCTAACCTTCTTCCACCTCCAACCTTCTTCCACCATACAGAAAGGCAAGTTAACAACCATTTCGTCTTGTAGTCTGACCTGACAGGCAACGTCCTTCATCCTCAAATCACTGTCTACTACATTCTCTTCACTACTACTGTCCTTTGAGATGACTTGGGGTTGAGATGACTTGTCACCTTTTATGTACTATATTGCACTCAAAGGGTCATTATATAGTGTGATACTGCATCTTCACAGTCTGTTGTCACTGGCACTTTATAATATCCATATATCCATGGTATAAATTGTTTAAGTATATATCACTGTAGTAGGACATTGGCCAATATAAAGACAAGTTGAAACATTCTGGTTTATCCTGATGAGAAACATGTTGGGATTTATCCTGATGAGACTAAACTATTTTACTTAAACATATATACATGCACTATATTGCACTTAAAGTGTCAGTATATAGTATGGCTCTTTATAATATCCATATATTCATGGTTTTAATTGCTTAGTATATATCACTGTAGTAGGACATTGGCCCATATAAAGACACGTTGAAACATTCTGGTTTATCCTGATGAGAAACATGTTGAGATTTATCCTGATGAGAAAAATGTTGAGATTTATGCTGATGAGACAACTGTTTCACTTAAACATATATACATGCACTATATTGCACTTAAAGTGTCAGTTTATAGTTTGTCACTATAATATCCATATATTCATGGTATCAATTGTTTAGTATATATCATTGTAGTAGGACATTGGCCCATATAAAGTTGTTTTTTTAAGGTTATTTTATTTCCATAAGCATAGGTAATGTACAATCTTTCATACAAGTAACATGGAAAAACAAGCCTAAGTTTACACATTATTGGCTTGTGGAGATACAATTTATACAGTGGAATATTTTACATGTACAATAATAATAATAAATACAATAACATAATGTAGTGTTTAGATATGATGAAGATGAAATGAGATGACAGATGATGGTTTGAAAATTTGGCAAGGTAGCTGTTGTCACAAGATTTTGTTTATAAATTCAGACGATAATTCTATGAGTGTCGAATTAAGCTTTGGAGAAAGATTTTTATCACCAAAGAGAATCATATCTACCTTGTCATATTTACATTTGCTGGAGAAAAGTTTTAGATCAGGGTCAGCATTTTGAGAGAGACTTTGGAGAAAAGTTTGTCGGGCATCATGTGTTAGAGGGCAATCAAGTAAATAGTGTACCTTTGTTTGGTTTCGAAATCCGCATGGGCAACTTGGATCTCTAAAGTTTTCAAAATTGTGCCGAAAGTAATCAGAGCGCAAAGAAAGATCACATCTCATTCGATTAAAGATCTAATAGCAAAGGTTTTGCAAAAATGAATCAATGTAGTATAAAACAAATGTATGTATAATGAAGAAATAAATATATAATGAAAAAAATAGATACGTGCTTGTAATATTGGTATTAACTTATGATTAAAAAGTGTCACTATCTCTTTCATTTTTCAACAAATATAGGCTCACGTGACATGTGACGCGGGGCAGTCAATTTTGATCTATCGTAGACCATATCAGTATCAAATTGCCGATATTTCAACCTCGTCTTGCGAGGCCATTTTGATTTGAAACATCTTGAATGTGGTGTCAAAATAAAGCTGGTCACGCCCACTTTCATAGTTATCAATGAATCATTTACTACGACTACTATATTCATTTAGGAGGCGTGTAAAGTTAACCAATCAGAAAGACAATTGTTCCATATATGGCAGTTCATTAACATATTCAGTGCTTACTACTGCTTTTCGCGTCATGACAACATGAGGGAACGTGAGTAGTAACCAATCAAGATGCCGTATTTTATCACGTGAGTTCAGAGTGACAAGTACACGCGTACGACATGTAGTCTGAGCTGATCGTGATGTTGAACAATTTCTTCTCCGAATTTGTCCAGAGAAATCAGCGATTCTAAATTAAGGTAGGATCTGCCATTTCTTCCTGTACAAGTTATAACTTATCTCTAATGAATACTAAAGTTTTGGATGAAGATATGAAGCATACGTTTAAATACGAAGCGATTAATTTGACGATCTGATTTTGCAATTTGCAATGGCCAATTTACAGCAAGTCTGCGTGTATTTGACAAGAGATAGCCAAGTCTTGTATCTAAATGCTTGTTAAGCCTTACTCAAAAACAAAATCCATATTTTCTAAAGTTGATAACTTAAGAAAACCTGTTTTCATAACCTGATTTCCGCGTCAAAAATTCAAACTGAGTAATAGGAATGGATCGGATCCTCAGTCTCCTCGAGTCTTCATTCCAGAACTCACATTTTTAGTTGATTCTCCGACCGTCATAGTACTTGTCTAAAGTATCCATAATTGCTCTCTTACTGGTATACTTGGACACATTTTCCCCTGTATTTTCCCCAGTCAAATTACACCCTCTCGCCGATTTATAATAGCCATTTCTCAGAACCCGGGAATCAGAATCGCTGATGTTTGCCATATTGAACATGTTGAAATATGTACTGTAATATCTGTATTGCCTGCTACGCGTAATGGTCACGTGACTAGCGCGATACAGGAAAAATGGGGAATTTCTAAACAACAATTTTTGGGCACTTTTATTGCAAATTTCAGGTATCTATAAGTGTTTGTGGTATAAAATATCATCCCCAGACATAAATGAACATCCAAACTACATATTTTATTAAGTTTTGGAGCCTTTTTTACTCTTAAATTGACATCTTTAAGTTTTATTTCCAAAGATCTCTTAATATTCAGATGAGTTGTCAAAACAGAGATTAATTTTGAATTTTCGAAGGATTGATTATATGATCTTTTGAACTGCGACTTAGTTTCTTTCTTTTTGATTTTTTCTGGAATGGATATCCATGTTTTAATAGGGGATATTGCA